TGTCGAGAAACGGATGCATCATTATGCAATGCAGCTTTTGTGCCATCGAGGGGATAATGTCATACATGGGAATGAAACGTGCTATAATCCCGTTGTGTCAGTAATTAATAATCTCCTTCCCTTTGCCAAGATTAATAATCACCGCGATTGCATGCCATGAGGTCGATCGAACGTTGAAACATTGATGCCAATTCACCTGGAAATCTTGCAGCTTATTCCGCCTCTTTCGATAGACGCGATCCTCTCGATTCCATCTTTCGCGTTATTAGAATTAAATGAAAAACGTAATAAAAGAAACACATGATTTATGCATCCGATCGCGATCGCATCTGATTACTTGCCCATCGTTTCTTGAAAAATATAGATTATCCATGAATGAGGAAATATATCAAATTTCTATTTTTTACAACGTTCATTGAAAATCTCGTTTCAATATTGAAATAAAAATACGAGAGAAAATATGTTTGATATTTTCTGCGATGGTATATTCTGTTTTGCATTTACACAATTAAACTGGACATTTATTCGATTCTCGAGTTATCATGTTGTGGTATTTTTTTTATTGCGCTAGCGCAGTTATTACGTAAAAGGTCTCTGAAAAATCACTCGCTCGAAAATATAGCGAAATAGGGTGCGCCGTTTTGCGGATTTTTTCCAAACTGTGTTGCTTTATTCTATCTGTGTGATCCGGATTTATCTTAAAAAAAAAGTCTGCAATTTAAATCGAAGGACGACCGTCATCAGTTATATCCTATCTCAAAAATAAACGAAAAGTTGACACTCCAATTCGTGTATTTTAAAAGAAAAAGAGACACCGAAAGGAGGAACAATCTATATGAATTCGAATAAAAATAATCAATCGATTAAAGCCCCGATGGTAGAAACATTATAACAGTCCAGTGTGTGTATGTGTGTGTGTGTGTGCGTTATTTAACCGACAAGAGAAGACGTGGCATTTTAATTATCGCGCTTCATAATTCCACGTAGGACAAATAAATAGGCCGCAAACGTGAGCTGTACTTTCCACATGCAAATCGACCAACTATTCATCGTGTGACAATCCTTCGTTAGGAAGGACCTCAGGACACGGCGAAAAACGCGTTCGTTCGTAATCAAATTATCCTTCCCTCTCTCGCTCTTTTTCTATCGCGAGTGCATTTTTAAGTTTTTCCCGGACGGTGAATTATCGAAGAAACGACCGCCGTTTTCCCCTGTGTTCCCTGTGTGAAAAATTTATTTACAATCGCGTTTCCGGCTCGATTTTATTTCACATTGATTAGTATTCCACGTCTCTTCTTTCGATGTATAATCCGATGCACCTCATTCAATTATGAAACCCCCCTCCCCCCTTCCCCTCCCCGCGCATTTTGCCGCGTTATCAGATATGAAATTGACTAGTGGCAATCCGATTATCTTATACTTGTCATGACAAATCCCGGTCGCCTAGGCAGATTTTATTCGGCTTTGTGTTATAAGCGTCATCGTCTGGACTCGACATCTTTTATTCGAGCTGGTTTCAACCGGCTGGAAAAGATTGCCGCATAAAGAAACGTATGTATCATATAATGGGACCTGAGAGGCTAAGCGTATTTATAATCATATTCGGAATTCTGCATGCGAGCAAAAAAATTTGAATTTTATTTCGTATGTTATCCTTCTTGTTTTTCTATTGAAAGTTATTTAGATAATTTTTATATAATTTCTTCGAAAATTATTTAGATAATTTTTTAAATAATTTTATATAATTTTTAGATAATTATCTCTCTAGATATATTTGTAACCTATGACGTATTATTCGAAAATTTATATTTATATATCGTGAGAGTAATGGATGCAAATATGAGAAAAATATTTGAAATATAATAAACGAAATAATAATTGACATATTTTACTGTTTTTATGAAACGAGAGAAATATAATTATTTGAATGATTATGGCTGAAATCTCTCTGATGAAAAATTTAGACAAATATTGGCGAATATTTGTCTCTGATCCACATGAAATTAATTAAATATTTACGATAAAACTTTTTAATTACGTACAAAAATAACTTATTTTATTTTAAATTAACCATTTGCAGAAAATAGCTGACATAATTATTTTTATTTTGATGACGATAATCTTTATGTCATTATTTGTCATCATTTTATGTCGTTATTTTTCAGTCAAAAATTTCTCGCTATTTCTCGTCTACTTATGGTATTAATTTATTTATGAAAAACATGATATTTTCTGGTTATAATGATCCTAATGAGTGATATATCATTACGCCACAAATGGTTATCGCTGCTGGTGGAAAAGCGGAAGGCAAGCGGAAATTAGTAACACGTCGTTATTGCCGCTATTAAGCACACTTTTTTTGCATCCCCTTTAAGGGAGAAAGAAGCACTCCCGATCCAATTAGACGCCACGATCTTCTTCGCTGACTCGGCTCGCCTCAGAGAGCAGAAATTTGCTGAAAGCCGAAGTCTAAAGCCGCGCGGATATTACGCGTCATAGTTAGCCACTTTGCTGAGGAATGATTACTTTCCTTCGACCATCCCCCGCTTTTTTTTACGTCGAGTGTATCCTCGGGAGCTCCTCGGGATTCGAAGCTGAAAATCTCGGTTGTAAAGTCACTCAACCGATAACTCGCCGTTAAAGGATCAAGACGGTTTCGCACAACTTTAAGATCGCTCGTATTTTTTTCCTTTTTTTTTCCTCGAAGGTCGGAAAAACGTGGTGAACGTTTGATATTGTTGCACACATCGTCTAATTAGATTTACAAATAACATCGGCAAATTAACGCCCCGAGGGTGAATTTGGATTTACAAGTGCTCGAATTTATAGTATAAGTGCTCTCCAAATGTTTAACATTTTATTAGAGTGCTTTATGGATACGTTTTAGATGCGGAATAAAATTTTATTCGAGATCTCGCGATTTGTGATTGAAATTTTTCTCATTAATATAAATGTGTTCGATTATAAATGTGTACATTCTCCAAGGAGCTCGCGTACAGCGCGATAATATTGCTATCGATAGAGGGATGAATATGAAATAAAAAATAGGATTCTGCGACAGTAGTCAATAGTTTAAACATTTTTCTGATTAATATAAATATGTTCGAAGAGCAAGGTGCGGTAAATTGAAGCTCGTTTTACAATCGATAATGTATTCCATTTAAAGTTGAAATTCCCTTTTAACGTCGCCTCTTATATACAGGGTGTCCCAGACTTGACGAATCAGCCGTTAATGGTAGATTTCTGGGATCATTTGGAAACGAAAATCTTCATACAAAAATGTCGAGAAAGATGTAGTTTCGGCGCTACGAAAGATTAAAAATCACCAATCGGCGCGTTACATTCTCCAAGGAGTTCGCGTACAGCGCGATAATATTGCTATCGATAGAGGGATCGATATAAAATAAAAAGTAGGGTTCTACGACAGTCAATAGTTTGAACATTTTTATAAAGTCAACATTTTGGTAATAGAATTTTCATCTTCGAATGATCTCAGAAATCTACCATTAACGGCTGATTAAGTCTGGGACACCCTGTACAACTTATCCGGAATTAAAATTGGCATTAGATCCCTATCGAGATAATGTCAACTACGAATTATATCGAAACACGCTTTCCGCGGATTTCGATACAAATCTTGATGATGGGATAGCCCGCGTTAGCGCTTAATGGAAAAGTCGATATCTGTTTCTGACATTATCAGCCCCGCTAGTTTTAATATCTCACGGGGACGTAGGAGGAAGGGGAGGAGGGGGAGGGAAGGGAGTAATAAAGAACGACGATGTTCGCGGTAAATTCACGAGGACGTCATAAATTCACGGAGCCGCCGTCTCGTACGTCTTCGCTTTCGAGGCGACATCACCTGACGTCGTTCGGAAAGGGAGGGGTAAGTGCGGGGGTGGCTACAGTGCGGTTTCTAATTTCCACCGGCGACCTCGAGCAAAGAAATCGTAAATTTCTCACGCCCACGCGCACCTGGGCGTGGTAGGCTCGAGGGGAGGAAACGAACGGACGGACGGACGGTCGAGAGGGATGACGATTCCTCCCTGAAAACCTCCTCTGTTTTCGCGTCATTCACGCGCATTCGTCCTCGATATCGTATCGCCTCGAAATGGCCACGTAAATCTTCCCGGATTCTTGTGCCATTCTTTTTCTCTCGCCGACGTGAATCGCTCCTCTTAATTCTGAAAATGCGTCCTCGTTCAATTTAAAGTTCTCAGAATTCTCGTACATTGCTCGTTACATACATAGTAACATACTATCTTTAATTGTATTCGGGATGTAATTAAACTCCTTGTAAGGGAAACTTGAGAGTCGCTTAGGAAGGGTCTCGTGGAAGACAAATTATTTTCAAGGGAGATTTCCCTTCTTCGCGAAAAATACGTAAATCCAGGAAATGTGTAAATTAATAAATTGCTTTACAGCTATAGTTGATTACAATTTGATCTTTTCAGTATCGTTTTGAACGAAGAAAAATATATTTATAACAAATTTATTTAATTGAAGAGTGTTCGCCTCGAAAGATTTTTCAAGAGGCCTCTTTCTGCAATTGTTTAATTTGGCGTTTTATTAAAATTAAGAGATCGGAACTTGTCGTTTCCCACGACAAGCGTATTCGTGCATAATCGCGCAAATTTCGCAGGAGCCCGACACGACCACGGTACAACCCGTACTTTGCATACGTTGTCGGGGAAAGTCCGCGACGTACCCTGTAATCAGAGCACTTTCGCCAAGTCAAAGGCGATAAATATCCGAATGCAACTGTGTCCAGCGCATCTCGCCTCAGTGCGTCTGTAATTTCATCGACATGTCTGTTTTACCGACGAAACCGATCCTACTCGCGACAATCGGATCCTGCCAGCTCAATCTCAATTGTCGATATTACTTTAACGAGATATTAAGAACGCGATTAATCCCGATTTGAATGTGCAAAATTAAATTCTCCTGTCAACCAGAGACTGTTGATCGATGACGTTCGACGTCCCCTCATCCTGTTGCAGAATGGACCATGAGGAAACGCGGTGTCGGCTGGTAGTGGACGAGCGATCGGCCACATCGCTTCCGCCACGTCGTCGTCGATCGTCGCTCGCGACGCGTTCCCGATACGTCCTTTTCCAGACCCGAAACGAGCGGCAGGTGTTGTGCGCGGCAGAAGATACGGGCTTGACAGGTGCGATAATCGGGGGTGGCCCGGTCAGAGCCGCCGCCGGGCCGGCGATGCGACGATGAGCTCGCCGAGGGTGCTGCTACCCCTCCACACCCGACCAAAGGTGAGTGAGTTACTCTTCGATCAGCCAGAGAGCATCGTCGCTCTTCTGGTCAATTCTTCTCTCCCCTCCCGAAATTCGACTAGTCTTTTTTTCTGTCTCGTGTATATTTTCTCATATGCGTATGTACATTTCATAGGAATGAAAATATATCTAATAAAAACCTTGTTAGAATTAAAATTCTCTCTTGAAGACGGCATTTTTTTTTCTTTGAAAGTTCCATTTACCCACCTGTCTTATTACAATTGAATAAATGTGCAATATTTTACAATTAAATATATATGCAATATTTTTCAATTAAATAAGCATACAATATTTCGCAATTAAATATACAATATTTTTAAATATGATTTTTATATAAATATGTATAAATTGTAAATCATACGCAAGGTGGTTCACATAATTCTCGAGTTTATTGAACACCTCAAAAAAGGATGCTATCGATTTTAAAAGTTAGGTCTTGAATTGTATGGATTTGATGGGTCTTCAAACTTGAATAAAAGTTGAGCTTCAAACTTCGATTGGGGATGGGGATTAACTTTAAATTTTTAAATGGAAATTTCTACATAAAATTACATTTTTTAGATTCTACGAAAGGAAACGACTTATTGTTAATTTTATCCGAAACATTTTCTCAAGTCGAGCGCTCGGAAATAATCGATCGATACGAAATCAAAATCACAATGTTACTTTAGCTTATTCAATTTATTAAATGTTCAAAATATGAATTTGTAAACATTGAAATACTAAAGTACAAGCGTCCTCTGCCAAGAATATTTTTATTTTTTTTTTTTAAGAACAAAATTATTTTTGAAAATTATTTTTAAAACTGATGGGATAATTTTTGAGATACGAGCTGTCAAGAATTACATACCTATCTGTTTACTCTGTAAATAAAAAGAAAATATCTATAATACCATATTTTAAAAATTTGTAAAATATGTGCAAATTTCTAAAATATTTCATCTCAAATAATTGGAGATATCAATATTAATTTTCAACAATGTTAAACAAAAATAATCAATTTAATAAAAAAAGTATATATAAGTAATTTTCAAAATTAACAAAAATTGGATAAATCTTCTCGCCTTTTCTACTTTATAAAATAAAATATAAAACAAGGAAAAAACTTTGATTTTACCCAAATAAAACACGCGAAGCACGTATTTTCAAAATTTAAACTGTGTCCAATCATCCTGAAATATCATCGATAAAACGTATCTCATTGATCCATTTACTCTGTCAATTTTTACGCAACGAGGAGAAAGTAATGGAAAACGTGTAATCAGTGCGAAACGTGTCCGGGTGCGAAGAGTACGTTTTTGTATTTAGCAAGTGTAACATTGCGAAATGTTGCGCAGATGACGAGATGTCTGGTGGAGGACACGCTTGTCCCTGCAAACCGCGACAAAGACAAAAGACATTGTTAACGTGAGCGAAGGTCCCTCTGGGTACGTTATTTAAGGCTTTTACTTTTGTGATTTCGCAGCCCCGCGTAATAGCAAGGCCGGGTAATTTCGGAAGCTGCGACGACGAGGCCGAGCGACGAGGAGCGGCAGGCGGTTCAAGGCCGAAATTATCCGCGTGGCCATGGACCACGAGGCGAGGAACGGAACCGGCAGCAATGACAACGAGGAGCACACCAACATCTACTTCATCGTCGGCGACCGCAGAGAAATGGCCACTTACAAGGCGAACCAGGTCACGGACATGGAACTCAAGGGTGAGTGGTGAGACTTTTGACGTCTTTTCTTGATTTTTTTCTCCTTTTTAGTCAATTTTTTTTTCGCTCATTTAACTAGGGTTGCACGAGATACCAAGATTAGTCTTGATATTGTCTTGTCTTGAATTTCAAGACAAGATCAAGACAAGATTTTTAATTAGTTATCAAGACAATATCAAGACTAAGACTGTCAAGATTATTGGTTCTCAAAAAAACTAAAATATTTATATTTGTAAATGAAAGAAAATCACTATATACGAATTTAAAAAAATTTTATTCAATAAAAACATTTATATTAATAAATTTAAAAACATTTAATATTAATACAATATAGCATTTTTATAAATTAGAAATCAAACTCGCAAATTTTAGACATTAAAGAGCATTTTACCCAGGAATTGACGCACATTAGTGCTTTTAAAGATTTACTTTGTAATCTGGTTCTATTTTTTGACATAGTCAGAGTTCCTATTGAGAAAAATGTTTCCACTGGCATGGACGAAACAGTTGAACTTAAAATGTCTCGAACCATTTTTGACAATGTGGGATAAATATGAACCTGATTTTTTTACCACTCCAAAATATTAATATCTGCACATTTCCTTGGAGCCTGTAAATAGTTATTAATTTCTGTTTTCCATGAAACAGTAAATGTTCTTTTATGTAAATAGACGGCATTTTGTATCGATTACATAGTAATAATTATAATTAAAATATAATACAATAGTAATAATTATTTCAAATTATATTACAAAAATTATGTTAAATATTATTTAAATAATTTTTTAATATTAGATAAAAAATTGTTAATAAAATCGAGACAAGGAGATTTTTGCTACCAATATTCACTCAAGATCAAGACAAAATTTAACCCTACATTTAACGCATCCCATCTTCGATAAATATTTATTTATACAAATATATAACGAGAAAATATATTAGAATCATTTCATCTCTCTCTTGGTGGTTTTTACAAAATTATAAAATTTTAAATTTCTAGCACGTAAAATTAGCTGTCAGGTTGATTTCATGTGTATTTATGTTTTTGATAAAATTAGACGATTATATGAAAAATTATTATTCGAGTTTCTCACAGTCGTTAATATGGTCAGTGATTCTAGGGGGTTAAAGTTTTACAGAATTAGTCGGATGTTAATGATTGATGAAAAAATTCGGAGAGTAACTCGATTTATTTTCAGTCATTTCTAATTGAAGCTCACGTAGAAATATACATTGCCTTCGCTATTTATTATATACCTAATTTGAAAGTTTCATTACCAAGACTCGGTGAATTTAATTGCGACTATACAACAAGATTCATTGCCGATCCAGAAGTATTCAATTTATCAGCTGATCCGACTGATTCGCAGAGGGAGAAAAGAGCATTTTCGTGAAGTCAGCCGTTCATTAATCTCTCTCGACGGGGGGAAGATATTTTATCCGGAGGCTCGGGCCTCGTGTATTACCCACCTCTACCCTTCCTCTCAGAAACTTTTCACTCGGGCTTTAGCCAGGAGTGTGTATTCCTTTCGCGAATGAAAAGATCCGTCGATAGGAGGTATCGAGTACGGTGAGCGAATATTCGAGGATTTAATCAATTATCGATCGCGATGCGAGGGCCCCCAGCCAATCCCGTGGCCGAGATACTTCACTTTACCCACCTTCGTCTTCGATATGAGAGAGAGCCTCCCTTTCGAAGCACTACCGAAATTATGTTTGCACACACTTCACCTTCGTTGCCGTGACCTATCGACCGGACCTCGTCGTTTCCTCTCGTCGGCTCGCTCGAGTGGCCGATGGGCGTCCCTTTTGATCCCCGCTCCTCGATCTGCCGATGAAAATAGCGCGAATACGCACTTGTGCGTGAACTCGCACTCGGTCGACCGACTTCTTCAACCCTTTGACGGTTGGTACAATTATCTCGCGAGGGAATTGACGATGACCTCTAGAGCAGCCGTATTGGAAGCCGTTTTGCTATTGAAAGCTCATTTCGCGTTTGTTTCTCTATATTTCATCTCGACTTTCGTTCCTTTTCCGTCCGCATTTTCCTCCTCTTTTCCTTTTTTTTTTTTCGATTAATTCTGCTCGTTATTTTTCGCCTCTTTTTTAACGCTTTCCACCGTATTTTGTACTTCAGGCATTACTAATGCAACGTATACGTATATACTTTTGCAGTATATTTTTTATAATTGTAGTTTTATTATATTTTTTGTATCGTTGCTGCCGTGCGCGCATCAAAATTTCACGTACATTTAGGTATAATGGATTCCTCTCGTTTGCGTAACTCGAAACATTGTTTCGTTAATTTTTGCATAATACATATCTCTTCATTTCATTTTATTTTATTCACGTATGTATATAAACATTTTTCGACAGTCTTTCGACGAAGCATTTTTAATAAATTATTTTTAATAAATTATTTTTGATAAATTATCTTTAATAAAGTATTTTTAATAAATTATTTTTAATTAATGATTGCTAATAAATTATTTTTAATAAAGTATTTTTAATAAATTTTTATTCTAATATATATTATTAAATATACATATATTTTTTTTTAAATATTAATAATTGTATTATTATTTTTAATTTTTGATGCAATTTATTATTGTAACAACGTTCAATATTTTCGCAAAAAAAGAAAAGAACATTAAGTTCAATCAAATGGCTCGTTTAATGATACAAATTTAATTAAACCTGCCTGGAATCAATTTGCGAAAACGAGAAACTCTGATGACAAACAACATAGATTATAAATGTGTTCTTTCATGGAAAATCAATCGTCAGAAATAGAATACTCCAATTTTCGAAATGTCGGTCGCTAATTGTCCGCGCATGTCTAATGCCAATATTAACTGGTAATTACCATGGCAAAATGTGTGTGATTACGATCGACGAGATAGTATTATGCGAGTATTCAACGCGATGTATTATTTGTACGCTGAGTCGCATTAAGTAATTAAAATTCTAATACATTTACCGCGTGTATAATCTTGTGTACGATCTTGTATACGCCAGATTAAGGGGAAAACGGCTTTGTCAGCATTGATGTTACAACCGGCGGTTGTACACGATGGGTACAAAGTCATGCTACAACCCGGACAAGTCTCGTCAAACGGGGCCTTATTGTGTAGGATTATCTCCGATCTGTCGCCTCGTCCCAAAGCTCGTCGAACTCCCCCGATCTGTCCAACTTTCTCGTTTGACGTTCGAGAAGATTGCACGTCCAGTTAATCCGCCGTTTTCTGCTCTTGACTAGGGTTGCACAAGACTCAAGACAACACAATATTCGTAAACAATATTGTATTGATATTGAAAATTTCGAAAAATATAAATCTTGTCTTGGTCTTGAGTGAATATTGGTAGCAAAAATCTCATCTTTATATTATCTTGTCTCGATTTTATTAACAATTTTTTATCTATTAAAAAATTATTTAAATAATATTTAACATAATTTTTGTAATATAATTTGAAATAATTATTACTATTGTATTATACTTTAATTATAATTATTACTATGTAATCGATATAAATGCCGTTTATTTACTTAAAAAAATTTACTGTTTCATGGAAAACAGAAATTAATAACTATTTACAGGCCCCAAGGGAATGTGCAGATATAAATATTTTGGAGTGGTAAAAAAATCAGGTTCATATTTATCCCACATTGTCAAAAATGGTTCGAGACATTTTAAGTTCAACTGCTTCGTCCATGCCAGTGGAAACATTTTTCTCAATAGGAACTCTGACTATGTCAAAAAATAGAACCAGATTACAAAGTAAATCTTTAAAAGCACTAATGTGCATCAATTCCTGGGTGAAATGCTCTTTAATGTCTAAAATTTGCGAGTTTAACTTCTAATTTATAAAAATGTTATATTGTATTAATATTAAATGTTTTTAAATTTATTAATGTAAATGTTTTTATTGAATAACAATTTTTGAAATTCGTATATAGTGATTTTTTTCATTTACAAATATAAATATTTTAGTTTTTTTGAGAACCATTAATCTTGACAAGACTAATAATCTTGACAGTCTTAGTCTTGGTATTGATATATATCTTGATATACATATATCTTGATTCAAGACAAGACAAGACAATATCAAGACTAATCTTGGTCTCGTGCAACTCTACTCTTGACATTTTACCTGGTAATTTGAGGACTTAAAATGTGCGATACTTGCGCAAATTCTAGCCATCGTTTACCGAAAGTGAAGACGAATCTTCTCTGTATTACGCGAATATTAAAAGTTATATGTCAAAAAAAAAAAAGAAATTAAAAATTTTAATGAGATTCTAATAAGGCTTTTGAGACTCACTGATTACTTGTACCGTATTGAAATTATTGTCAGAAAGCTTTCTCTGGGTTACGTAAATAAATTTAAAAAGTTTTCTGAAGAAAGAAAAGATCGTATCGATATTGTTGATAGCTTGAAGCACGTATTTTTTGGAAACTTTCAACGTGAAATCAAGAAACTTGTCTTGATCTTAAGAACATCGTCGTCGACTTAATTACCTTCTACATCGTGTTTCAAGATTTTATTGCCATCGGTATTACGATTATTATGGCTCCCGCATTTACACCGTGACCTGTGGCCGTCCTCGTTCCCTTATCGTTTCCACTTAAGCAAAAAGCCTTTTAACGAGGCCGACTTGGCAAAAAATGTGCCGCAAGGATGTGCCACGCAATCGATCGATATCTAAGGTCCGCGTGGGGCGAAAATCGAAGCCTTCTCGACTTTTCGCCGAGAATGAGAATTTCTCGAAGCGTTAAAACGGGAAAACGCGCGCGTTTCTCCCGAGAGAGATAAAAAAGAGAGAGAGAGAGAAAGAGAGAAAATGAGGTTTCTCCGATAATTATTCATCGGGCTAGGCAGATAGGGCTGCTAGGGAGAAAGGAACGGGGGAAGCGCGGGGGAGGGTACATATCTGTAATGAAAATTGAAGAAAATAATTTTTATTTCGGCCGTACTTTTTATTCCCCGGCGGGCGAAAA